CGGGGCTGAGGCCATGGCTGAGGGATGCTTCTGCCTGCAGCATTGGCATCCCATGTGGGCACCAGTTCAGGTCTTGCCTGCTGTACTTCTGATGCAGCTCTTTTTTATTATACCCGGGGAAGCAATGGATGACAGTCCAAGTGCTTGGGCCCCCACATCCATGTGGAAAACCCAGAAGAAACTCTTCACTCCTGGCTTCAGCTCATCCCAACTGGCCGTTGAAGCCATTTGGGGAGTGAACCAGCAAACAGAAGCTTTATCTCTCTTTCTCTTTGTCTCTCCTTCTCTACAACTCTGTGTGCCTTTCAAATTAAAACAATTATTTTTTTTTTCAGTGAGGGATCAACACCCAGAGAGGGCAGGATATCACAGAGATCAGTAAAGCTAAAGCTGTACTCATTCCTACGGTTTGTAACCTGCAGTTGAAAACAGCAGAACTGTTATCAGAACATGTCCTTATGGTGCTCGGACATGGGTACCTCCCAGAGACTTTGTGTCTGGGTGGATGGGCCTGTGTGGAAGGGAGTGACAAAGAAATATTAATAGGTAGATCCCAATTTTGTGACACAGTGAGTAGAGTCACTGCTACTGATGTTGCATCATATATCACAACCCAGTTCTAGCACTGGCTGCTCTGCTTTTGATTCAGCTCCTTGCTAATGAGCCTGGGAATGCAGCAAAAGACGGCCTGAGTGCTCAGGCTCCTGCCAACTCATGTGGGAGACCCTTATGGAGCTCCTGATTCCTGGCTTCAGCCTAGCCCAGCCCTTGCCATTGGCAGCCATTTGGAAAGTGAACTAGTAGATGGAGGATCTCTCTCTGTTTCTCTCCATAAGAGAATGTTTTTCTGTCTGTCACACTGCCTTTAAAATAAATAAATACTTAGAAATAAAGAATACTGATGTGCACCAAGCATTTCTGTACTTGTACTGTTGTCATTTCCTGTTAACTGTGGCTTCATATCAGGGACTCGCCTGATGCAAGAGACTCACCTAAGTCCAAACCATCTCCTGGGACCTGAGATTGAACCCTCAGAGGTCATGTCCTCCATCGCATGGAGGGCCTCCTGGCTCCAGGCCCACAGCCACAGCCTGGTTTTCAGACTGTAGGATGGGGATCAGGTGCTGTTCTTCCTCCCATCTGATTGGGTATCTGGAGGATTTTGATCCAAAGACATAAAATGTATATACCTTCCCAGCGCTGGCAGTTGATTCTCCCCTGTTCATTTGGCAGCACAAAGTCTGGCTGAGGTAGGTTCTTTCAATTCATTGCTGCCGAAATTGCCTATTATCCACCATGCTCTGACAACAGCTTGAAAAAAAAATATAACTATGCCAGCATTTTGGGCCTATGCCAACAGTCTGAGCCTATTCTCCTTTAGTTGTTTGAAGCTGGAAAGGCAGGAATTTGATTCTGGAGGACTTGCATGGAGGGCTGGGGAGTATCAGCTTCACGGTACCAGCTCAGAGCAAAGAGGGCAAGGAACATGGACTCCAGTGAGCATATAGCTTTCTTTGGCCCTCCCTGCTACATCAGGGCCTGGCACTGGGTTCCTGTAAAGACTTCATCTGAGAAGCCTTAGAAGTTTTGAGAGAGTAGTTGGTGAAACTCAGTTATGTGAGTGGGATACTGGATAATTGTCCCAATCCCTCTTTTCTTTGTTAGGAGGGATCAGGCTGGCTAGCTACATTCAAGTGCCCTGGATTAATCATACATAGGGGGAACATGACCTTTTTATGCATGATACAGATATCTGAAGGTTTCTCTCCCAGTGGTCACTTGCATTCCACACTCTACCAACATTCATTTGAAGATTTACTACACGTTAGATATCATGTGAGTGGTACCTAGTGAATGAAATCCAACAGACATGGCTTCTGACCTTAAGCAGCACCTATTGTAGTTAGCACAGGAGCACAGGGGTCCCAAGTTTCTGGACTGTGCAGTTGGGTAATTGTGAACAATAGCAAGCTTCATTTTACATTGGCAATGACTCCCCCTGAAGCCCATCCTCATTAGGGGAGAGTGTTTTGGGGGGGCAGGAACCAGGAGAGCTTGCCATCAGTCCCGGGGCTGTTGCTCAGAGCTCTCCCCCCTGTACTGGTGTGCAGAACGGAGCTCCCGTTTGCTGCTGGGGAATGCTGTGGACAGTGCTCAACTCTGGCTCCTCTTCAGTGGTTTGAATCCAACCTTATCCAGTGGTCACCTTCATAGACACAAAGACTGAGGATTACCTTTGGAAGCAAGGACTCGGGACCAGTGTTGATGATGGCACAATCTGTGGACTTAGCCAACAAGGCCAGTGGGGCTGGACAGGAATGAAATGAGCCAACCCTTGTACCCACAGGACTATCTTCATTCATAGGGTGAACTTTTCATTTCAAACACATTCTGGGTTGGGGATTTGATACAGCAAGGAATCTTTGGCACAAAAGTGATTCCCAGGATAGTGGGGAGCTGTGATTATCAGAAGGAAATAAGAGAACAGAAGAAAAAAAATAACTTCTCACCAGTAGGTAACTTTTTGGAAACCCAGAGCTGCTGGCCCTGCTTAGGGCCATGATACTTCTCTCCTAGCCACACAATTTGCCCCTCAACACATTATCACGAGGTAATTGCAAGGGATTCCTTAGGCCATACTATGAAACAGTTGGGCTACAATGGACACATTTCAGAGGGACAGGTATCATTTTCCAATCCTAGCAAAGAGATGGCTAGAAGCCCTGTTCCCTGATACCTAGACCATTGGTGTACCCTAGCATGGAATACTTTACTCTTCTGCCTTCTGTTCTGAGGCCCTAGCTTTAACATCCAGGTGAGCCAGGGAATCCGGTGACAAGAGAATGGAGTAGACAACATCCAAGTTCCATGACAAGCAGGACACTACTCAGAGAAGTAGAGGGGATCCCTTTGTACATTGAGGACATGGGACGTGGCAGGAGCAGAGTCCTTATCCCACAATACTCAGGGGGGGCCCCAAGTCCTGTCGGCAGAAGCCCAGGGGAGCCTGCAAAGGGAGGCCACCAACCAACACTTCCAGGACACAAAGATATACACAGAGACACACCGCAAAGACAAATTGGGATAGTTGGATGAATAGATTTACTCATTCTTGTTTGAAAAACAAGACATAAATTAGTATATATATATATAATTTATATATTTTGTGTAGTATATATACTATATACAGACATTAGAAAATGTTCCCTCTCCATGAGGCTGAAGGAGAGGTGAAGGGTGGTGATGAGATGACACAGGCAGGTCGTTGAGTGGCAAAGGTGCAGGATCAAGAAGTTAGGAGAAGACCATGTCAGCTTTCTGGCTGGCAGTGGTCGTGGGGGAGGGGCTCCCCACTGGCTGCATCGCTGGCCCATGGGAACAACTTGGTCCTGTGGCAGGAGAGAGAGAGGACAGGAAGGTGGGGCCTGGCTTCTACAGAAGGAGGCCCCTCGTCCTGGCCAGGAAAGTCTCACCACTCAGGGGAGCAGGAAGGGGAAGCCTTTATTGCGCTAGGGGTACCAAGGATGGGCAGGGGTTAAGCACAGTGTACATTTTTATAAAACCCATGGGTAAATGGGAGGTTCACACGAGCCTCTCACACGAGGATGACAGAGAGGCAGACGCAGCGCATGGGGGTGTACGACACAGAGGGAGATGCACAGGGCGGAATGAGAAGCAATCTATACAGAAGAAACATTGGCTTTCTATGTTCCCTACAGTGGGGGCAATCAGTAGGGACTCCGTGTCTTCACTCCCAGGAGGCGGCAGGGGAAGCAGGGTGGGATAGGAGGGTAGCAGGGGCAGTGGAGGTGGTGGAGGTGGTGGCGGTGGTGGCAGCAGCGGTGGCGGCAGTGGTGGTAGCAGCAGCAAGAGGAGATGTGTGTCAAGGAGGATGCTAAACAGTGTGACTTCCCTTCCAGATGGCTCCAGAGAGGGAGAGAGAGGTGCAGGACTGCACCGGGTAAGGCGCTCAGCTTCTTTTCTTAGAGAGACAAATCCACAGGGTCAATACAGAGCCAAAGCAGATACTCAGGATTAACATATCACACTAGCTTCCAGAAGTGTTAAGATATAGTCATCACCACCCCCCTTCCCCCCTCCCCCCACCCCCCACCCCAATCCATAGCTACGTCAAACTCCTAAGGACAGTCTGTCTGCTAGAGATGTCGAGAGGGGAGGAGCCACATGCCGGCAGCGATAGTCCTCTATGCTGGGCCAGGCTGGGCCAGGCGGGCTCAAGGCCTGCTCTAGGTATACCTAGAGCAGACATTCTCACCAGGTACCTGACCCCAAATGAGTGGGGGTGATCCCAGAGGCTTGCTCCCTAGTGGACTGAGCTGCCCTGCCCCACCACCCAGTGAGAGGCCAGGGCACTTTGGGGATGGCTGGTGTGGAGCTACTGGTTTCGGGGGCGAGGGGCTCCCGAGGCTGCCAGCCTGTTGTGCTGGCCGCGGTACAGCCTGTGAAGGGCTGTGTTCTGCCAACATCCCACTCAGGGCACAAACCCTTGGGCTGTGGTAGTCCAAGGTGAGTGGGAGGTGCGATATGGACCGAAGGCCGCATAGCCCACCCCTCCTCCTGCAGAGGAACAGATGCCAGGAAGCACTCAGGCTCTGGCTTCCTGTAGCGGCACCCAACACAGAGCATGAAGTGGGCCTGAGGGCACTTGTCTGCACTCAGAGAGAAAATACAGCTCTGTGCTGGGCATCGTGACCAAGGGCCTTTGCCCTCACAGTGACGCCCAGAGGCCAGGGAAGGGCTGAGAACAGCCAGGGTGGCGGCTGGGCCTGCAGCCCTTGAGACACACACACACACACACAGAGAGAGAGAGCGAGAGAGAGAGAGAGAGAGAGAGAGAGAGAGAGAGAGAGAGACTCAATCCGGGGAGTTGTTGCTCCCAGGAAAGGGGAAAGTGATGGGCTCTTGGACCCTAATTGGTCCAACAGATCACACACACTCACCACAAGATGCAAAGGACCACAAAGCTCAGACTTGGGGAGGGGGCTAGACCTAGGCAGATGCCCTACTTAATCAGGGTTTTTAAGGAGCGGGTGAATGTGCTCATAACAGTCGCTGAAGTTGGAGAGCCTGGTGGGTGCCCTGTGGCTGCCCCAGTAGCAGCTGCCACCTGCTGCGGTGGCTGCAGTGGCTGCAACTGCTGCTGCAGCTGCTGCTGCTGCTGCTGTTGGTTGAGGTTCCGGGCTGTGGACTCCTCAGCTGCACGCAGCAGGAAGGTGTAGTTCCTCACCACCTCCTCTACTTTGGCCAGCAGCTCTTGGCGCTGAGCCTCTGAGCGCACGATGAAGACTAGTCGCACAAAGGTCTCGATGAGACTGCTCAGCACCTGGAAGCTGCCTGTGATGGCTGCCAGCATGTGAGTGGGGCTCTTGTCCACGTTGGCCACACGGCGGCAGGAGGCCCGGAGCTCTTTGAACTTGAGAGCCAACTCCAGTTTGTACTCAGAGATTTGAGAGACATAGGGCTTGGGGGCACGGGCCTCAGGGCTGGCCACACACTGCCGCAGTACTGTCAGCAGCTCATTGGTGTCCAGCCGGGCAGCTAAGAAACCATCAGGGAGGCCATAGGCGTGGGCCCGAAGGGCGTTGATCTTGGCCAAGCTCCCCTCGAAGGTGGACACCCGAAGGTCAATCTCCTGCGTGCGAGCAGCCTCAGGGCTACTGCAGGTGGCAGCATCCAGGACTTGCAGGGTCCTGCTCACCACAGGCACCACCTGCTCATCCAACTTCATGCCAGGCAGAATCTTCATGGGAATGGAGTACGAGAGTTCGTCCTTGCCATCACTGGCATCATCTGCCATGTCGCACTTGCGGTAGTAGAAGCAGTAGCGGATGGAGCAGCACTTGCTGCTCTCACTGTCCTCATCCAGTTCAGCTGATTTCCGATACACCTCTTCAGGCAGGGAGAATACGGCCATTTGTCTGGGGCCTTTGGTCTCAGGGGTGACCTGCACATATGAGGGATCTCCCAGGGTTGGTGACTCCAGACACTTGCTTTTGGGGCCCACGCTCAGCGGGAGGCCTGTCTCTATCTCCTTGACCTCCCTGGGCAGCATGCCTAGGGGCGGGTGTGGGTAGATGTCTGAGGTCAGCGAGGCCCTGTCACCCTGGTCCAGCTCACTGATACTGTAGCGGCGCATCAGTTTTCTGTAATTGGGTGCTCCCAGACACTCACCCCCGGAGGCACACGTGGTCAGGCAGGAAACACCACTCTCGGGGTCCGATCGGCACTCACGGGATTCCAGGCTGGTGGAGCGGATCCGCCGGACGTTGATGGGGCTGCTGAGGCTCAAGCTCGGGCCAGCCTCTGGTTGTTTCTGGGTAGGGGGGACCTTGTCCCTCTCCCTCCCCCGGAGGCTGGGTGCAGGCACCTGGGCGGCCTGTGGCCTGCCCCCCCTGCTGATGCGCTTGCAGTCGCAGCTGCGCCTCTGCTCTCGGGACATGCCAGGCCCCTGTTGCACAGGACTGCTACGGAGCTGGCAACTGCAGCGGCCAGGGGCTGGGGGCTGCAAGTATTCAGCGCCTGGCAGCTCCCCCTGGCTGGGTGGCTTTAGAAGTTCCTCGAGGAACTCCAGCTCATACTGCTTGACCTTCTGCAGCTGGGCCTGTCGTTCATCTGTCTCCTTCTTCTGGCGGGTCGGGAAGGTGGCTGAGAATAAATTACGAAGCCGGAAAGGCCCTCTAGACGACTTGGGCTTTGTGGGGCCTTCGGAGGCTGAGTGGGCTCCATCCAGGGTTGTCTCGAGCTTCCTGGAGGGCATGGTGCTCACTTGCCGGCTGGCGGCTGGAGGCCTCAGTGGGCTCTGGCCTCGAGGCTGGCAGCTGGGGCTCTGACCTCGGGATTGGCTGCTGGGGCTGGGTCCCCGGGGCTGGCAGCTGGGGCTGTGGCTTCGTGACTGGCAACTAGAGCTCTGTAGAGCCACAGAGTAGCCGGCTCGGGGCACCAGGCTGGTTTCCTCGAGCTTGCTGCTTTTGGGTGTATCCAACTGTCCCCTCTCCCCCGGGCTGGAGGAAGTGCCCTGCTTGTACAGGGTAGGCTTAGCCCCCTCTGGTCCAGCAGCCTTGCCTGCCCCCTCCTCCGTAGCTGGTTTGCCCACTGACTCTCGGCTTGCTCGTAGAAAATAGCTTTTGGGAGGGTAACCGGGAACAGGCATCCTGTCTTCGGGTGGTGAGAGGTGGATGCTTTCAGCCCGGCTGCCTGCAGGTGTTCTGGAGCTGGGGGAGGCCTCCGGGCCAAGCTGCCGCTGGGGACTCCGCACAATATCGGTGGCACCAGGGCTCATGGGGAACTTCAGATTCTTAGCAGCACTGCTGCTCACCATGCCAGCTTCTGGTCTGCCCCTGCTGATGTCGGGCCTCCCTATGCTGGTCTCCAGCCTTCTCTCCTCCCTGCTAGGGGTGGTTGCCAGGGCCCCACTGGGGCTGGCCAAGCTCTTACTGTGGACCACCTGCTGCAGGGCTGCTGAGATAATGGCTGGAGTCACGCTGCCTTTGGAGTCCAGGATAAGCTTGGGGCTCAACCTGACCTCCTTGGGCAGCTTCTCCCTCAACTCTGAGACCTGCTCATCACTGAGGGATGGTGTGGGGGCTCTCCGTGACATCTCCAAACCTGCCCTACTGTGGCCAGGCCCTTTGTCCTCAGGCACTGGCGACAGCAGGCTCAAATTCTTCTGCTCGCTAAGCTGAGGGGACAGGGCAGGGTGCACTGCCAGGGAGTATGTTCGCTCTCCCTGGTTCTGAGCCTCTGATGGGGGCAGCTTCCTCCGAGCGCCAGGGGGACCAGGACTCTGGCCTGTGACAGCTGGCTGCAAGGATGGGTTGGGGTCTGGATGTCCGAGAGAGTAAGGGGCTGTGAGAACAGCCTGGGCTGCACAGCTCTGGATTCTGAAGGGCAGGTCTTTGCGGGCAAGCAGGCTCTCCTTGTTGAGATGCTGGGCCAAAAAGTAGGTGGTGTTCTGGTGCTGCTTCATGGCCGACATCATCTCTGACATGTCCGTGAGCTCCGAAGAATTGGTTTCATGGCCAGAGTCCAGTGATGATTCAGGAGTAATTGTGGCCAGCACAATCAGACCTGGAGAAACAGAAGGGGCGCTTGTTATACTTAACTGCGATCACGTTCTGATCAATTTTGCTTCCATTCAGTGGTATAGCGACTTCGTGGAAGCCAAGGTTAGCCAGTCAGCAGTTGTTCAAGCTGGGGAAAGGCAAGCAGGGAATGGGTAATACAGGGCTGTGTGTGGGAAGAGCTGGCAGGAGGGACAAAGAGAGGTAAGCAGGGATAAGGGCTAGGAAGGGCTGGACTCCAAAAGGGAAACAAAAGAGGCAAAGAGAAGATCTGGGCAATTGGGTGGTGAATTGACATGCAAATTACATGCAAACCCACATGCTAATCAACACTATTTTCAGATCCAAACAGCTAGGAAATTTTTGTTAATTGTTCTGAAGAAGGCTGGCAATGAGAGGTCCTCCCTCATCTGGCCATGGCCCACCCAGAGCCCTTGCAAATGAGGCCATTTAGCTGAGCTTGTCTTCTCTCTAGCATTCGCATGGGCATTGAACCTGGGAGAAGCTAGGACTTGTAGCTCCAGATTCTGTGCAAAGAGGAATAGCTGCCCTGGAAGCCAAACACATGGGGGCTGCCCAATGCCAAGAGTGTCCTGATATGCAGAAAAAGACAGGCTGCTTGCAATCCCAGTCCCCTAACTCTTTCTGTTCATACTTTTCCTTGCCCTCACATTCTTTTTTCATACTTTGCCTTTCAATTTCTATGCTGTTGCTGATAATTTGCCTCCTTTAAAAACAGCTGTCTCTGCACGGAAGTATGTACATGTGAGAATAGTGCATATGTGACATGTGCGTTTGTCTCGAAGATGGACTGATGTGCATGTGTCTGTAGCAAGCAAGAGCATGTATGTGGCATGGTTTGCTTATCAAATAATAATTAATAATAGCTTACTGAGTGCTTACTGTGTGCTAGGCAGTGCTGAAGCGCTTTGCAAGTATAAGAGCATGATTATTATTATCAAGCCTCATTTAAGACGACAAAAGTGAGGTTCACAGGAAGGAATTACCTTGCCCAAGGTCACAGTGACAGTGAGTGAAGACAGCAGGGTTCAAGCACATCTGATTCAATTCCGAAGCAGAATTAAGACCTCAGCCCTGAGCAGGGATGGCTGTCAGCTCCCTGATTCCAGGTGACTGGATGGGAACTTGGCTGTTTTGTTTTGTTTCCAATCATGTGCATCTGGCTGTTCTTTGCCTGTCTCTTAGATCTCTGACAGTTTTCCTCTGTTGCTACATCCTGCCTGACTCCATAACTGTCACAGTCTCAAACCCTGGGATTCAACTGCAAGACATTTTCAAACCTATGGAATGCATGGAGCTCGTGCTCTACTTGGAGCTGAAAGTCAATCTCTGCCATGACATTGTTGCTCTCTTGACCCTATCTGAACTACCTCTGGCCCCACTCACTGCCCTGACACACTAAAGTGGCTTTGAAATTTGCATGGGCGGAAATGTACAGTGGCTGGCCCTTCCAGGCTAGGAGAAGGAACGAGAAGCAAGAGGGAGGAGGAGAGGCCTATTACCTGCAGTCTGTGGGGCTGGGGGGTGTGGTCCGTCCTCCGAAGCAGCCAGGGCTTCCAGAGCCTGCAGAGTAGACACCAAGGCATCATCCAGCTCCTGGGCATGATCTCGGACTGTCCGCGTCTGCACACTGTCAATCAATGTCACTGGTATCTCATCGTAGAGCAGTCCACGCAGATGGCGTCCCTGCTCCTGGCTCTGGACAGCTCGGCGCTTGGGGTCATCCTCATCAGAACTGTTGTCTCGGAAACCAGGGGGTGGGGCAGCAATGGCAGGCAACAGAGAAGTTGTCTCATCTTCCTCTTCCTCCTCTTCCTCACTACCAGGTGGTGGTAGGGACATGAGGTCTACCATGTTGTCACGAGAGGAGCCAGGCCTCCCGCCCTGGCGAGGGCCCAGCTGCTCCTGGAGTTTGGCTTTGCAAGAGTCACAGTAGAAATTCAGGGCTTCAGGCCCAAGGGAATTGTCCAAGGTGTAAGACCGGGCCCTGCTGGCACAAGGCTCGTGGTCTAGACTGGCTGCATCAAAGTCATCAGGGACCACTTCATAACCTTGGCCAGAACTTTTCGACGTGGGATCAGACTTGGTCCGGGGCCTGGTCTCTTCAAAGAAGATTAGGTTCTCGTTGACATCCGTCCGGCTTTCCTGCTCCTTCCTTTGTTCCCGCATGTGGAGGTAGCAGAAGCTGACAAGCTCAGAGTCGGCAGGCGAGGGCGTGCAACGGCTCGACTTCCTGGGGCTGGTGCCCACGCTGCCCACATAACTACTCTCCTTTTTCCCCAGGTGGCCCCCAGTGACAGGGCGGTTGGCGCTGTGCATGTAATCTAAACCCAGAAAGAGAATCAACAGGTGAGCCCTGGAGCTGATGACTGTGGCTGAGCTCCCTTGGCATTTTTGACCTTGTCCCTGCAGCTCAGTTGGGTGACAGGTACTAGAGAAAGCACTACCTAGCTATGAGAGCAATAGGACAAGGAGAGTTGATGTTATAGTTGACCTTTGACCCTGAACGCAGAGGAAGAGTGAGGGGATCTTATTAACCTGAACTGCTAGTAGCTCCATCACCTCTGGGAAAGGATGTGTGGTGGTCACATGGGACAGACATCTTGTATCTGAGCATAGCCAGCCTCTTACACAGATACATTTGCTGTGAGAGTCAGTTGCAAATGTTCTTAAAGAGGTGTGATTTGTTTTCTGCTCCCTTTGGAATCATTGTTACTCCTGTCTGCATCCTTTCAGAGCCTTTCCAAAAGCCAGGATTCTGCTGCTCTGAGTCCTTTAGTGATCTGGGATGTCTTCTAGGCAAAGGCAATACATCTGACAAATTATTAATGCTTCATGGTAAAAGTGTTTAAGCAGGCTCCACGCAATGCCTAAGTGTTTCCATTTCAAAGAGGAGGGCTCCCTTAATAGCAATCCTGGACATTTGAATATGCAAGGTGTATTGGAGATATTGCCCAATGAGCTCAAGTGGGAGGAAGGTGAGAGAGCAATCTGCTAATTATTCAAACCTTATAACTTCTCTGGATTCATGCAGTGCCAGCCCTTATAACTTCTCTGGATTCATGCTATGCATACTTGTGGCACAAATCGTAAGCGGCTCTTAATACTCTTAATAGCAGTAGGTGTGTACATCTGAGAACTATCTGAGAACAACTTTTTTTTTTTACTTTGCCTGTGCCTGGCTTCTCTGTCCCACCCTGGAAGCCCCTTGCCATGTTATTTGAGAATATATTCAGACTGTGCAATTCACTTGACTGTTAGCACTAACCCAGGCTCATTTAATCCTAACAACCCAATGAGGAGCGGTAGGTATTCTCATTATTATCCCCATTTCAGGGAGAAAGAAATAGATACAAACTTAACTTTTCAAGTGGACTTGAACACAGGTACAAACTCATGTCTTTTAAAAAAGATTTATTCATTCATCTGTTTATTTGAAAGACACAACAACAGAAAAGTCTTCCATCTGTTGATTTGCTTCCCAAATGGCAGCCATAACCAGATTTAGGCCAGGCTGAAACCAGAAGCCACAAATTTAATTCTGATCTCCCACATGGGAGGCAGGGGCCTAAGAAGTAGGGATACCTTCAGTTGCCTTCTCGGATGCATTAGCAGGGAACTGGATCAGAAGACCTGCTGTGAACCAAAGAAGCTCTCAATTATGGGATGCAAGGATTGAAGGCAGCAGCTTAACCTGTACCATAACACTAGTCATCCTTAATCATTACCTTGTAGCTCATTACTATGGTCATGATGCTGGAAAACATGACTTCAAAACGACTTTAACTCCAGTTTGATAGTCAATTGTCATTTTTTTGCCTTCCACTAGAGCTCACAGCTTGACAAAAACAGCATTGGAACCTAACAACAGAAATGTGTTTCAAAATACGAAGACAAAAACAGCCTGAGTTGGAGGGAAAAATAAACAATTAAGCAGTAAAAGTTATAGACTTTAATAACTCACTTTATAACAATGGATAAAATAAGTAAGGAGAAGAACAACAAGAAAATGAAGGATCTGAACAACATTATAAGCTAACTACTACTAAAACAATTCTATGGACACTTCACCTATTTGTAGCAGAATATCCATTTCTGAGTATGGCACAATGGCTCAATTGGCTAATTGTCTCCTTGCAAGCGCCGGGATCCCTTAAGGGTGCCCGTTCATATCCCAACTGCTCCATTTCACATCCAGCTCCCTGCTTATGGCTTAGAAAAGCAGAAGAGGATGTCCCAAGGCCTTGGGACCTTGTACCCACATGGGAGACCAGCAAGAACCTGCTGGATTTGGATCAGCTCAGCTCTTGCCATTGTGGCCATTTGGGAAGTGAACCAGCAGATGATAGATCTTTCTGACCCTCCTTCTCCGTAGATTTGCCTTTCCAGTGAAGATAGATAAGGGGAAAGGGGAACATCAGAGCCTATGAAACGTTGTTATAAAATTAAATGCAATAAAAAAAATAATGCCCATTTTTCTCATAGGCACACGGAACACTGTCTTCGACAGATCCTATATTAGGCCATAAAACTAGCCATAAAAAATTTAGAAGGATAACAAATCATTCACTTTATGATTCCTGGGCACAGCTTATTTTTACTAGAAATCGATGACAAAAGTAAGTTTAGGAAATTCAGGAATATGAGGAAACAAAAGCACTTCTAAACAACCAAGGAACTAGAGAATAAATCATGAGAGAAATGACAAAATATATTAAGATGAATAAAAATCAAGATACAACATATCAAAATTTATGAGATCTAGCTAGTGGAAGTTCTTAAAAGGGAAATCTATAGCTACAAATGCCTCAATTTTAAAAAAGAAAGACTTCATCTAAACAATCTAAACTTCTACCTGAAGAAATTAGAGAAAGAGGTGTGAACTAAATGCAAAGAAAGCACAAGGAAATAGTACAGAGGACAAGAAAAAAATCAATGAAGTGAAAAATTGGTTCCTTGAAAAGACCAAAATGAATAAATTTCTAGTTAGACTAAGCAAAAATGAAGACTCAGATTACTAAAATCAGGAATAAATAAGATATCACAACAGACCATACAGATGTGGAATAAGGGAATATGATGAATATTTGTGCCAATGAATTAGATATGATATGGACAAATTCTTAGAAATACATGGTTGATTGGAATTTATTCAAGAATACAGAAAATCCAAACAGGCCAATAGTAGGAAAATAAATTGTACTAGTAATCGAGAAAACTCTTACCATGTAACAAAAAAATCCAGGCCCAGATGATTTCACTGGTGAATTCTAACAAATGCTCAAAAAAGCATTTGTAGTTATTCTTCACAAATCTCCTTCACAAAAGAATACTTCTGAACTCATTCTGTGAGGTCAATATTACTTCGATACCAAACATCACAAGAAACTTATAGACCGTTATCTATTATGAATATAGGTACAAAGTTCCTCAATAAAATACTAACAAACTGAATTCAGCAGTTTTCAAAGATAAAATTATGAGCTGGTATGGTGATATATCAGCTTAAGCCACAGCCTATAATGTTGGTACCTGATATGAGTGCCAGCCAGTGTATGTCCAGGCTGATTCACTTCCAGTCAAGCTCCCTGTTAAAGCAACTTGGAAAGCAATTGAAAATGGTTCGAGTATTTGGGCTCTTGCTACCCATGTGGGAGAACCAGATGGACTTCCTGGCTCTTGGTTTGGTCTGGCCCAACCCATCTGGGAACCAAATGTGGCCATTTGGGAACTAAAAAGTAGATAGGAGATTCTCACTCTGCCTGCCTTTTCCTCTCTCTCTGTTACCTTGCCTCTTAAATAAAGATTTCTAAAATGTTATACAGGGGCCGGCATTGTGATGTTGTACATTAAACTAGTGTTCTATGATGTTGGCATCCCATATGAGCATCAGCTCCAGTTCCAAATACTGATTCAGCATTTGATAACGTACTTGGGAAAGCAGAGGATGACAACCCAAGAACCTGGACCCCTGCTACCCATGCAGGAGACTAAAAAAGAAACTGATGTTAAAATTATACATCACGGGCCCGGAGCAGTAGCCTAGCAGCAAAAGTCCTTGCCTTGCATACTCAGGGATTCCATATGGGTACCAGTTCTAATCCTGGCAGTTCCACTTCCCATCCAGCTCCCTGCTTGTGGCCTGGGAAAGCAATCAAGGACGGCCCAAAGCCTTGGGACCCTGCACCCACATGGGAGACCCAGAGGAGACTCTGGGCTCTTGGCTTCGGATCGGCTCAGCTCTGGCCAATGAAGTTGCTTGGGGAGTGAATCGTCAGACTGAAGATCTTCCTCTCTGTCTCTCCTTCTCTCTGTATATCTGACTTTCCAATAAAAATAAAAAATAAAAACATTATACATTATGACCAAATGGGACTTATTGCAGTAAGTTTTTGGTTTATCATCCAAAAATCAATGAAAGTAGTTGATGTTAACAAAAAAGACAGGATAAAAACTGCACGTTCATCCAAATGGATACAGAAAACCATTTGACAGAACTCAAAACTCTTTCATGATAAAACCCCTAAACAAACTAGAAATAGAAGGGATCTCTCTCAACATGACATTTATTTATTAAAAACTTACAGCAAACATTATTATACTGACATATCTGTCATCATCCATGAAAGACTGAAGGCCTTCCTCCCAGTGTCAGGAAAAAACATGATTACTCTCATCACTTCTATTCAGCACTAGAAATTCTAACAGGAGCAATTTGAAAGTAAAATCAAGTTTAAGGCATCTATGTTGGAAAGAAAAAAGTAGCACCATTTCTGTTTGTAGATGAAGTGACCTTGTAGCTAGAAAAAGCCGAGGAAACTACTAACAAACTATTGAAAATGATAAAAAAAAAAAAACTACAGCAAGTCTGAAAGTGTAAGCCTAACATACAAATATTAATAGTATTTTACATACTAGCAATTACCAGTATGAAAGTGAAATTAGGAAACTATTTTATTTATAATAGCATCAAAACAGACAAACGCTAAGGTATGAATTTAACAATACTAAGAATGTGCACTGAAAACTACATAACATTTGTGAAAGAAATTAAAGACTTAAATACATGGAAAGATATTGTATATTCATAGCTTGGAACATCTAAAATCATTAAGATGGCATTATTTCTCAAATCGATCCACAAATCCCACATATTCCTTATCAAAGCTCCAGCTGATTTTGTAGAAATTCACAAGATAATCCAAGATTTCAAATAAAATTGTAAGTGACTTGACTAACCAAAATAATATTTAAAAAAAAAAACTGAGGACTTACACTTCATGATTTCAAAAGTTAGTACAAAACAGTAATAATCAAGAATGTG